TCAGCCGTTCCCTGAGTCCTGAAAGGCCCCCAGGCCCTGGGCCAGGACCGAGGCCCATCTCTCCAGGCACGTCCTCGGTCTCGCGTTGCTGGCGCAGCCGGCGCAGGGCGCCTGCCAAGCGGCTGGGAGAGGCACTACGGCCGCGGAGCTCCCCCAGCACCTGGTCCCGATAGAAGGCTTCGGCGCAGGTGCCATGCTCCCGGTAGCAGTTCAGCGAGCAGTAGGGAACATTGCAGCGAGGGCAGGTGTACCGCGCCGGCTGGGCTTCTCCCGCCGGGCAGAAACCGCAGGGCCCGGCAGGCTCCATGGCAACTGGCGCAGCCAAGCAGCATAGAATCCTCAAGGGCCGTAGTTTAGTCACTTCCGGTGTTGCTTCGCTTCCTTCCGCCTCTTTGCCCGGCGAACCGAGCATTAGGGGTAAGCAGGTACCGAGGCTTCTCGGCCATTTCCGCCCAGATTGGGACGCCCAGCGTGCCCGCTGGGAGCCCGCACAAGCCCCACCCACCTTGATGACGCAACCAGATAGGGAAAAAAAAAAAGTTAGTTTTAGTTTTATTCTCCACACAGGCCTCTTCTTCATTAAGTAGCTGCTCATTAAATATCACCATCCCTCATTCACCTCTGTTAAATGTAGACTTCATGTTAAGGTCTAAGAATACAATGAGAATGAGAGGCAGGGCATCTATCTTGGCTTAGTGTTGCATGGAGTGGGGACGAACTACAAATATCTGTGCCACACACCACAATGTCGATCTGTGGCGTTGGCCAGGTAAGACCCAGTGTCTGTTTTGCAGTACTGGGGATTGAACCTAGGGGCTCTCTACCACTGAGTTACACCCCATCCTCATCCCCTCCACCCCTTTAAATTTTTTTTCTTTTCCAGTACCAGGGATCGAAATCAGGACCTTGCAAAAGCCAAGGCAGGTTCAGTGCCACTAAACTAAAATCCCTGGCCTCCCTTTTTTAAATTTTGAGACTCTCAACAAGTTGTCCAGGCTAGCCTGAAACTTCTCTTGCCTCAGCCTCCTCAGTGTTGGGATTACATGTGCCAAGGCACCCAGCTAGCCCTAGTTCTTTGGTCCTTGCCTCACATTCAATCCCATGTCCTGTCAGTTCTGACTCTGAAATACTTTGCATTAATCTTGATATGGGTCATTTATTTCACTACCAAGATTTGGATGGACTTGAAACCCCTTGCATCCCAAGTAATGGTCTGAGCTACTTGCCCCCTCACCTGGGTGACAATCCCTTAACAGGTTTCCTAACTCACTTGCCCGCCAAAGAACTGAGATGGCAGGGTGTATGTAGCTTAGTGGTACAGCACTTACCGAGACTCTTGGAGTCCCCAAATTCAATCCCCAGCACTGAGGTAGGGGCTGGAAAATAAGCAAGACTTAGTCTCAAACTTAAAAAGGGGCTGGGAATACAGCTCAGTGGTAGAGTCCCTGGATTTGATACTAGGACTGCAAACAAACAAACAAGCCAAAAAAAACACCACACAATTTAGATCACATTGTATCAGGCTTAAATCCTTTTCAAGACGCTATTGCACTTGGACTCAATACCTGCAATAATTTTGTTTTACCAATTCATGTTAAAATTTAACCTCTACTGAAGTATTAAAGTAGGACCTTTAAACAGGGCACAGTGGCCCACCTGTAATGCCAGCACTCTGGGAAGCTGGAGGAATGACGATCAACGAGTTTGAGCCCAGCCTGGGTAACTTGGTGAGACCCTGTTAAAGGGTGGTGGTTAGGATTAGTGGGTTATTTGGAGAATGGACATTGTAAGAGCAAGTTTGTTGCCTGGTGTGGTGGTGCATGACTATGATCCCAACACTGGAGAGGCTGAGGCAGGAGGATTGCCGAGTTTGAGGTCAGCTTGGGTGATACAGTCAGTTCAAGGTCAGCATGAACTACATAGCAAGACCGTTTCACACACGCACACACACCCAAAGTGATAGGACCAGAATCAAAAGGTGCATAAAAGAAATAATTTTTTTTTTTTGAGAGACTTGCTCTGTAATTCAGGTTGCTCTTGAACTCAAGGTGATCCTTTTGCCTATGCACCACCATGCCCAGTTCCGTTAAGTCACATCACTTTTGCTTGTCTTTGCTCAATTCTCTTGCCTGGAATTTTCCCCAGCACCACAAAAAAAAAAAGTTTTTTTTGTTTGGCACTGGGGATCAAACTTGGGACCTTGTGTTTGTGAGGCAGGTGGCAGAACCAGAGCTAAAACTCGGTTTTTAAGACAAGGTCTCACTGTGTAGTCTAGGCTAACCTTGGGCTCTTGACTCTCCTGCCTCAGTGTAAAATTTGAAGAAAATTCAAATGGCTAGCAAGACCCTGTCTCAAAAACTCATTTCAGACTACAAAATTAACCAACATTTATACTTCCTTCATCTTACGTCTTTAGTTAGGTGTGGTGGCACTGGCCTGTAATCCCAGTGCTTGGGATGCTGAGGCAGGATTGATGGCTGCAAGTTCAAGGCCTGCCTGAACTGCACAGCAAGATTCTCTCAAAATAACAAAACTAGAGCTGGGCGTGGTAGTGCACGCCTGTAATCCCAGCACTCGGGAGGCTGAGGCAGGAGGATCACTGTGAGTTTGAGACCAGCCTGGGCTACATAGTGAGTTCCAGGTCAGTCTCAACTACATAGTGAGACCCGTCTCAAAAAACAAACAAAAAAAACCCAACAACAAACAAAAAAACCAAAAACAAAACTAGGGTCCGGGACTCTCAGTGGTGCTGCCACCTGCCTCACAAAAGCAAGGTCCCAAGTTCCATCGATACCAACCTCTCCCCTTTTTGTTTTGAGACAGGGTCTCACTATGTACTTGAGACTGACCTGGAACTATGTAGCCCAGGCTGGTCTCGAACTCACAGCGATCCTCCTGCCTCAGCCTCCAGTGCTGGGATTACAGGTGTGCAGCACACCTGGCCCACATCTTTTAATTTATCCTCACTGCATTCCTAGCCAGCCAGAAAATGGAGGTAAAAAAAAAATCAAATTTAGCAGTCCAAGTCCAGAGCTCCACGGTATACTGTCTTTGAAGAACAAGTTTTAAAAACAGGTCCATACACGAGGGACATGTTGCTAGGAATCTTGAACCAGCTTTGGAGTAGCGTCTTTTGGAATATTGAAAAACTTATCCTACCCTAGGAAAATTTATCCTACGTGTGATTAGGTTAGCAAGGCTGGCCAAGCCGTCATTTATATGGTCAGACGTTGTCTCAGTAGTCAAGAAACAGGTTCAGACTGAGGCATACCAGGTTCCTTGTGAGCTGGACTTCAGGCCATAGCTAGTCCACTGTCCAGAGAAGGGTCAGACTAGTGTTTCTTGGTTCTTCAACCCAAACCACTTCCTTCCCTTCCACACTGACTCCATAACAAACTCCCCAGCCAGTAATTCCTGCTGTTCATGCTTGAAGCCGGGGAGGTACCCAGGAGGAATTATCAAGTTGTATAGGCTGGGGAGTATGCTACTCCACATTTAAGGACTGGTATCCACAGTGATTCTGAGAGCTTTTCCTAAATTTTACCACTCTCCCCAGGCTTCCCTGATTTAGGGGATACCCCACCAGCCCTGGAAGCCCCACCGCTCCCCAAGGTTCTGCAAATGAAAACAGAAGAAAGAGCTGCCTGGGCGAAATGGCTTTATTAGAGAAAGCCAGGATTACACAGGATTTAAGAGTTGGCATTGGGGCCCTTCTTCTTGCCAAAGGTGGGCACAACATTGACAAAGCGCCGGTTGTACTGCATTCGCCTCTTGGCCCGGCCTGTCTTCTTCTTCTTCTTCTCCTGTTTGGCCACCTAGGAAAAAAAGGGATTACGATCACTTTGGCTGAACACTTCCATGCCTGGCATCCCTCCCTCACCCTCCTCTCCATGAATCAAAAGGGCAGACCAGAATCAAAGGTCTTGGCTTAACTATGATAGGGGAGAACAAGGTCCAAACACCAGCGCTAATTCTCACTCACCTTGGGAGTTTGACCTCTCACTTTCCCAGCCCGAGCTAGGGAACCATGGACTTTACCTATAGTGGGAAAATAGAATAAATAGCAGCAGGTAAGAAACAAGATCAATCTTCCAGAATAATAATCTCCTGTCAACCTAAATTTTTTTCAATACGAAAGAAAACAGAAAGACCCACCCCACAAAAAAACTTTTCCAGTGCAAAAGATGAATGTTAGACAAGCACTCTACCAGTAAAGTATACCCCTAGTTCTTTTTATTTTGAGACAGATTTGTACTAAATTGTTAAGCTGGGCTCAAATTTACATTCTCCTGTCCCAGCCTCCCTGGTAGCTCACAGAAGTTTGCCATCACACCCAACTTCAACTCAATTTCTAAGATATGCAGAGCCTAACAATGAATGAAACTTAAGATGCAGAAATTCAACCTCTAACTAAATTTTACCTCAGAACTTTCCATTTTCTGACTCTGGGGTAGGAGGGGCTGTATCCTGGGGATTGAACCCAGGGCCTTTATACTGAGCTGCACCCCTGGCCCTTTTCAGAATTTTAAGACAGGATCTAGATCTTTAAATTACCTGGGTTGGGCTCATATTGTGTGTGGTTTTTCTGATTCAGCCTCCAAGGCTGATGGAATTACAGGAAGGCGCTCCTACACCCTCTTTCTTAACAAAACTGAAAAGTGCCTTGGGGACCTGGTCTGACCTGGTTTTAGTGGGAGAACTAGAACGACCTGGTAAGAGACCGAAAGAAGAAAAACAAAAATCAGTTCTGCTCAATTCACACAAACTCTCAGAGTTCGTTCTGAGGGCAGTAAAAAGAATCACCCTGGATTGAGGAACCCCAGAAGGCAATAAATGTATCATCTCAGAACTATCTGAGCTGGGCTGGACAGGTGATACACGCCTGTAATCCCAGCACTCAGGAGACAAGAGGCAGGAAGATCACTGCCAGTTTGAAGCCAGCCTGGGCTACAGTGAGATTCTATCTTAAAGAAATAGAAACAAAATCATAAAAAAGAAAGGATCTAGCTGCTACACGTTGTACTCCACACCCATTAGATAAGAGCATTTAAAAAAACACTTCTCCACGCACCTCCAAGCATGCGGCCAGCTACTTCCAGAGTGGCCAAGGCTTCCACGCCACACTGGCCAAGGATGGCATCATCCTCCAGTGGCTTGCCTGCCAGGAGCACGACTTGATCTTCCGGTGCGATGCCTTCCAGGGAGGCCACTTGAGCCTATAGCGGGGTAAAAGAAAATTCTTGGGCCGGGGATTTAGTTCGGTGGTTCCGGCGCCTGTCTGCCAAGTACCCGAATTCGATCTCTAGTGTACACACACACACACACACACACACACAAGGAAAAGTCTTGTAAACGTCTTGGTGGAGAACGTTAGAGGACTGAACACGGAGAGGCCCACACAGCCTTACCTTGATCTGGGCGACCGTCTCTTGGCCGGTCACTTCGAGGGTGTGCAGGTCCTGGGCGCGGACAAAGAGCTGCATGGTGGCAACTAGGAAAAGAAAGTCGGCTTTAAGAAAATGAAAAAAACGTTCTCTGAGAAAGGGGTTCTGTGGGAGAAGCGGCCCACAGACTATCACGCCGGGACGGAGCCAGTCGTGGTGTCTCACGTGGGAAAGGCAGAGGCTGCTAGAGAATTCGGATAGGGACCGGAGCGTGGGCAACAAAGCAGCTCCTGTACCTTGATCTTCCGCAGCCTCTGACGAGGAGGCCAGAACGTCAACAAGCCCTCTAAATCCATCCGTCTTACAGGTCTTACCTGAATCGCTGACCCAGCCGCCACTACCGCGAAGATGGAGTCGAGAAAGAGGAAGAAGCGAGGACACGCAGGTCCTAAACGCCTATTGCGTGACACGTCACTACTGAGCGACCGTGCTGGGCGCTTCCTACCTCCCACTGCCGCCCTAACCCCGCCTTTGCACGCTTTGCGCAGGCGTCCTTTGGGTTGGGGCGGTGCGCGCGGGGGGGGCGGGCCCAAGCCGGTTGCGCGTGCGCAATAACAGTGTGTGTAGGGGGGGTCCAAGATGGCGGTGTCTGTGTACCGTTCTTGTTTTCGGCGCTGGAGAACTGGCTTCCAATGGGGCTGCAAGCTACGACAGCTGGTGAGTGCTGAGCTTGGCGCTGAGGGCAGAGGGCGGAGTGTGGAGGCTCTTGTTAGTCATTGTAACCCGGAAATCCACATTTCTACACGGGGCCCTAGTTTTCCTAATCGGTGGCACTTGTCTGGAGAGTAGTAGATCGGTTGAATGGGAAGGAAGGTGGCCGACTCCGGAGTGCACTTGGCGGAATTAGGGAAGTGAAGGTTGGAGTGTAGCTGCTGGAAAGCCTAGGTTAGTCAGGAATGACAGGAGCTGCACATCGACTTTCTCTGCCTGGATCCCAAAGTGTGAGTTTGGGGAATTATGATTGGTTAAAATTTGTGATTTGAGTCCTACAGAAATTCTAAGACACATGTACTGTTCAGAGTGTTGAACGTCTTTCCAGTGCCACCTGCACACCGGAAAACAAGTCTACTGCTCTCCCACCTCTAGTCTTTTATTTATGCCATTTTCTCTGCCCGAAGTGTTTCCTTTCTCTGCTAAGTTTGTGCTGTGTTGTGAGTCAGTGGAGAGATGGTTGGTTTGTTTGTTTGCCTCAGAGCGAGACGCAGGGGCCTCCGGATTACCGCAGCTTTGTGGAGTCCACAGATGAGTTCCAGTTTGTGGAGCGCCTCTTACCTCCCACCACGATCCCAAAGCCACCGAAGCATGAACATTATCCCACTCCTAGTGGCTGGCAGCCTCCTAGAGGTGAGCTGGTTATGGGGATGGTTGAAAAGATGTAGGGAGAATTCCCCTCTCCAGTGGTCGGTTTACCCAGTGGGTTCAGGACTCAAGACGAGATTCCTTAAGGTTAGAATTGTCTCAAGCCCAAGGAAGGGCCCAAGAGTGGAGCCCTCAATTTTACTGGTATCCCACCAGCCCCACTGTTGGCATGGGGCTTCCCATATCGGAAAAAATAAAGAATAAAGAGAAGACCCAAGTGCATGAACCTCCCCTTACCTACTTGTCCCCTAATTGAGAACACAGCTTGGTTGGTCAGGTGATTCAGAGTTTGAATTTGTCTCTGCTGTTCACTGTTGGTGTGATCTTGAGTTAGGCATTTACCTCCTTCCATTCTCAGTTTCAGTAAAATGGAAATAAAACACTTAGTACAGAGCCCAGTAGGTGTTCAGTGTTTGTAAGCTCCTTTCCCCTTGTTCCAGAAATTGATTTCATCCTCCCTAGCCCATTGGAAAGGGGCAATAATTGGCTACAGAGGGGGACCCAGAGATCCAGGGAGGCACAGCTCTGACTTCTTGATTACCTGATAGTTGGTACCAAACCCTATGTAGAACACCAGGCTCAACAATTCGGTCTTGACTCTAGACTGAAGGAAGGAGATGCCCCAACCTGAAATATGGAGGCACCTTGGTCCAGCTGGATGCAATAACCCTCTTCAGGTTTTGTGAAAGGGTCTTGGCTGAGGTAAGATGCCACTTTGGAGTTGACTTGTCACTGTTCCTCTGTCACAGATCCCCCACCCAATTTGCCCTACATTGTGCGGCGCTCCCGAATGCACAACATCCCTGTCTACAAAGACATAACACATGGCAACCGCCAGATGACTGTTATTAGGAAAGTGGAGGGAGATATCTGGGTAAGTGTGTGTGTGTGTGTGTGTGTGTGTGTGTGTTTTGAGGGAGATCAGCGTCCTCCAAGTGTGTGTGTGTGTGTGTGTGTTTTGAGGGAGATCAGCGTCCTCCAAAAAGACTGACAGGCCTGATCTGTCATTCTTCCCCAGGCCCTGCAGAAGGATGTGGAAGACTTTTTGAGCCCACTGCTGGGGAAGACACCTGTCACCCAGGTTAATGAGGTGACAGGTACCTTGAGGATCAAGGGCTACTTTGATGAGGAACTCAAAGCCTGGCTCCTCGAGAAGGGCTTCTGAGGCCTGTTGAGCAGCCTGCGTGGACTAACTGGAGCCTGGGAACCTTGGGAGGAAGTGGGTATTGGAGTCCCTGGCAAGGATACAAAGACCACACTTGAAGGTTTGGGCAGAGCAGGAGTAAGAGCTAATGGGTTTTGGGGTCAGATCTTGCTTTTGCAAAGGGGAAATGGGCATGTGTCCACTGGCAGAGCTGTACAGTATGGGACACCCACCAGGAATGGCCAAGATAGTAAGAGGCATTAACTGCTGTCCTTTCTGTCAGTGGCCTGCTTTGGTGAGCTCCTTGGGTTTAATTATTCAAATTTATGGGATATAATCTGGTAGAAGCATAGCCCATCCTGGCCGAGGGGAGGGTTCAAGGGCAGGCCCATTCCTGCTCCCTGCTGGGAACACTGATGAGACCTTGTTCTAGGCCAGACCTGGTGTGGTGGAGACTGTAAAATACAGATGACTCAGGCAGGGGCCTAAGCGCCAAGTGCATTGCTGTGAACTGGGGCAGTGCAGTGGGGGCAGCCTCACAGACAGGGAGGCCTCTCTCAGATCTCTGTGCCATTCCAGACTGGGGCCTGATTGAGTGGGTTTCTAGCTCCAGGAGTTAAGTAATTAGCTCTGGGTGGCCTGACCACAAGGGAGTGCCTGGGAGCTCCTTGGAAGTCCTTGCTGGGCCTTCCCACCATGCTGGCCCGGAGTCCAGGCTGGACAGGTATCTGTAGGCAAGAAGATGCAGGCCTCTCATCCCTGCCATCCCATCCCAACATTAGCCAAGTAGCCTTCACACTTGCCCATCCCTGGAGTCACAAGGGCCAAAGGCCTCACCTCACTGTCAGACTGGCTAAGGCAGTGTTTAGATCCTGTCAGCCCTACTTGATCTTTGACCCAAGACAGGCACTAAGCTTCTCTGAGGCTGTTTCTCAGTGTGTCAAATGGGTATGTTAATCAACAGTGTCTCGTTCCTGGGGGTTTCAGGCCATTCTCAAATTTAGTCTCTGCCAGGAAGAGGAGCTGGACCTTACCCTATGACACAAGCCCACCAATTGTTAATGCAAGTTTTTATTTGGCTGTATATACAATTTAAGCTATTAAAATTTGTACAATATTTACAAATTAAATAATCATCTGAAACTGTCTCCAGCAACTCTTGTAACACAAAACTGAGGGGAAGAAAGACAGGGGCAGGCAGGCCTTGGCTCCCATGTTTCCTTACTGTCCCAGAGCCTGTTCTAAACTAGAAAAACTAGGAACCGGCACTCCTGCTCCCCCCCTTTCTGGGGTCAAGCATTCAAATTCAAAAGACAAATTTAAGCCAAAAGCCACTAGGTGAGGAAGTAGCTCCAATCCTGACTCAAGAAAAGTCCCGCAGGCTCAACAGTGGCCTTGAATTCCGGGTTGCAGTGGTTGAGGAGCAGCACGCCAACCCTCAGCCCTGGTACGGCTGGGCAGTGGCTGCTGGGTGAGGTGGCTCAGCCTCACCTGAGAAGCTGCAGGGGAAAGGGTCTGGGGGAGGGGTGGGGCAGGGTCCCCCAGTGCTGTCCGCCTGCCCCCCACCCCCAGGCACTCCTTTCCCTGAGTTGTGTGGTTGCCAGTAAGATGTGGAAATGCCAGAGGGCATGGGGACACAGCTACCACCACAAGGGGCTTCGGGGAAGATCGAGGTGCAAAGAGGAAATTGGTACCAGTCTTGGCAGGAAGGCCAGCAGCAAGTTCCTGGCCTGCCTCCAGCCCTTTGGGATCCACACTTGGGAACGGGAGCTAATACTGTTCGGCACTGCAGCGTGACCCCTTACAGTAGGGCTTAGAGGAGCTGCTCTTCCCCCAGAAAGGGTGGGGAAGAAGAGGGTCTCAGAGGCTGGACCTTCTGCCTTCAGTCCCGGCTGGGCCCTAGCACAGCAGAGTGCTGCACAGGTGAGGAGATGGTCGGAACTGATCGGCATCCCCATGGGAGTGGGGCCAGCTGGAAACAGCCTTCTCTCCACCTGGCCTCAGGAATGCCGCTTCCTCTTCCTCAGAGCTGGGGTTACGACTCCCTGGTCAGAGGGAGCTGGCACTTGGTGGCAGGATGTGTTCCAGCAAGGGCTGCTCAGGAGAGCGGGACAGGGCTGGGGCAGTGTCAGTGGGCAACAGGGGACTCGAGCTTTTGCAGGCGGCGCCGGCGGAGCTCTGCAGCATCCGGCTCTCCATCCTCGGGCAGCTCCTCGGCACCCACAGACTCAGGAGCTGGGGACACAGAGGTCAGAAGTGGAACCCTGGGAAGCCCCTGCCCCACCCCCCAAGGCTGATCACCCCAAGGCTGATCACACCCACCTGGAGGCTTTTCAGTTTCCTGGGCTGGTGAGGCTTCTGGGGATGGGGTGGTGGCCTCAGAGCTGGGGGTGCTGGTGGAGGCAGCAGCAACCGCTGTGGAAGCAGTCTCTTCTGTGGGGCTAACTGAAGTGGCAGGCCGGGGGGGCCTGGGAAGACAAGGGATAAAATCTGGTCTGTCCTTGGCATCTTGGTTGAACCCTGCCCTTGGTGACCCTTGTGGGACAGTCTAGGAGAGTATGCCATGTGTGGCCACAGTCACCAATAGGCAGAAACACACGGATAGAGTGACCCCCCAAGGGCCAAGTGATTCTGTCCCAAGAACTGCAGGCAAGGACTGCTGACCCCTCTGCTATCACCCGCAGTCTCCACTGGGGGTGTCAGGCCTTACAGGGTATCCAGAGGAAGGCATACAAGGCTCAAGCCTTGGACGCCAGTGTCCCTCCCTCACCAAATAGGGGCTGGGCACTCTGTACATGTCACTTCAGAGTAGGATTTAGAACTGCTCTCTTCCCACAAGGTAAAAGAAGTCAGAAAGCAAGTAGCAGTGGGGCTTACATTTGAACTCCTTTATCTGCCCCCTTGGCTCAGGAGCAATTCTGTCAGATGGGTGTTTGGTGATGAGCTGAGGTAGTGAAAACTAGGAAGAACTTGAATTTACTGTTTTGGTGAAGTTGGAGATCGAAACCAGGGCTTGCTTTTTTGTTTTGTTTTTGAGATAGCTTCTCATTATGTGGTTCAGGCTGGCCTGGAACTCGCAGCAATCCTCCTGCCTCAGCCTCCCAAGTGCTGGGATTATAGGCTTGTGCCACCATGACTGGCTAAAACCAGGGGTTTTGTGCATACCCTCTTAACTCTGAGCCACACACTTTGTAATTTGGGTTCAGAAAAACAAAAAATAAGATTGAAGATAAGCTTGTTCTTAAACATTCCTGCTAGCCTCAGATGGGCTTCTTGGAGAGGAAGGATAAAGGCACTGGTAATCAAGAGCTCCCTGAAACTGTTTGTGTCTACAGGTAGGTGGCCCAAGTGTCAGCAGATGTCAGAGTGGCAGGGCAGATGAATGTCAAGAACTGGAGCCCTCAACAGCTCCATCCACCCGCATTACCCCACAAAGACGCACCCCAAGGAAGCTAGCACAGTGAGGTACTGGTTGATCTGCAGCATGGCGGCGTCCAGCAGTGTGTGGATGTTGCGCAGGCTCTGCAGCCGGGCCTCCAGGTGCTGCCGCTCATGGCCTTCCAGAGCCCGAAGCTCTTCTGGGGTCAGCCCAGCAAAGCCCGCAGGGGGCACAGGCATAGGGGGGAATGCTGGGGAGGAGGTGGAGGCTTAGTCTGGGCTGCCTGGCCTGGCCACACACCCCCAGTCAGCCTCCAGAACTTCCCAGAGTGGCTCAGCTTACCAAAGGGTGGAGGCAGGGGCATGCCCATCCAGGGAGGAGGGAAGGGGAAGCCTGGGGCAGGACCAGCCTCTGGGGCAGGAGCAGAGCCAGGCGCTGGGCCGGAGGCACTGGTGCTGGCAGCTGTCGTTGTGCCTGTTCCACTCGGCCGAGAAAGGGCTGCTAAAGAGCAGAACAAGGTCAGAGTGGTGCAGGGCTCCCCGTCACCCCCTGCCACATTACCCAAAGGCTCACCTGCACTGGTGGATGGCGGGGCTGCGGCCTCCCCTGAGCTTGGAGGAGGTGGAACAGGAGGGAAGGGGCCCATGGGAGGCCACAAGGGGAACATGCCTGGAGGAAAAGGAGGCAGGAGGCCCTGGGGGACTGGAGAGAGAACAGGGTGGTGAGCAGAGGGCTAACAAAGCCCACACCTCGGCAGGGGCTAGGCTGCTAGGCTCTTGTCCTCTGCTCTCACAGCTCCTGAGCTCAGCACCAGTCCCAGCAATTTCTTATCTTTTCACCCCGTGGCCCGGACAGCCATGACATGAATCCCCCACTACCTCCCACACCCAGCCCAGGGAGTACCCACTGTGGTGGATGGCCAAGAGGAGGAACACTCACAGTTAGGGGGCTGGGGCAAGAGTGGTGGGGCATGAGGGGCAGGAGGTGGCCCTTGATCTGCAGGCTCAGGGGGCGGTGGTGACTGGGCTGGCAGCGATGCCCGCAGGACATCCATGCGGCAGGTAGGGCAGGTCTGCTGCCTCTGGAACCAGGAGCGCAGGCAGCTGGGGGACAAGACCAGGCAGTGGTCAGCACCTCCCTAGGGCTTGGGCCTGGATGTGCAGGTGCTCGGGGCCCCACCCACCTGGTATGAAAGATGTGGTTGCAGGGCAGTCTCTTGGCACCTGTCACCATCTCTTCTCGGCAGATGATGCAGACATTGTCCATTGCCTGGAGTTCCTCAGGGGTGGCATCTGGATACCTGTTAGGGTGGCAGAGCATGTGTCAGGACCAGAGCTGCAAACAAGGGGACCTAGGACAGAGTTTGGGACAGCAGTCATGACAAGGCCACTTACAGTGTGTTCATGTTGCGGATGGCTCGTCGTGACATGATGGCATCTGTCACAGCTTTCTTGAACTGCCTGAAAAGATAGATAGTGAGTGCAGGAAGAGGTGGGCAGAGATCAGGTCAGGAGAGGGAAAGGACAGGGCTGGGCTCACCTCATGGCCAGGTACATGGGCCGGATGGCAAAGAGTGGGAAGGTGTGTACCTTGATCATAATGGTCATGAAGGCCATGTATAGCAGAACCTTGATGAAGCCTTGGGACAAGAGATGCAAAGAGCAGCTGGTTACAGGGTTGGGCAGGCAGTGTAGGGGAGACTGGTCTGGTCAGGACAGGCCCAGGCTCCTCTCACCTGTGAACAGCTCTGTGTAGAGCATGTACACGGCCTTATTGTCCCAGGGGTTTTCGCTCTGGAGGTCCACAGAGTGCAGCACATACTTGATGAAGATGGTGAGCACCATAGTCATCAGAATGGCGTACTGAGGGAAGAGTGCACCAGGGGATGTGAACATCAGCTCCCCTTCCTCCAGCCACACTGCTGTTCCCAGGCCAGCTCTGGCATCAGCCTCCAGGAAGCTTTCCCCGAACCCCAGGTGGGGGCTGCTCCACACCAGAGCTCTATGAGCCCTCTAGCCATTCCCTTGGAGCGTGTGAAGGGGGTCAGGTCTGACTAGCTGCTGCTCCCTGGTGGCTAGCTTAGGGGTGAGCACACAGCAGATGCTGGTAAGGAAGGGTTTGCTGGGTTATTCAAGGCACATGCAGTGCCACCTCAGGCTTGTCCTCTCGGCCTCCCAAAGTCAGTTTTACCTCAAAGCCAAACACCAGCTGCACAGAGGCCCCACGGGTCAGGATGCTGTGATAGGCGTGGCTGACGAAGAGGAAGTCCAGGATACCCAGGAGGAACATGAGGGCTGTGGAGACCCCCGAATGGGGGGTGGGGGTGAGGTTAGCCCACAACTGATAGCCGCTGTCTGTTCTAAAACAGCTCCCCCTCAAGCCCACATGACCATGGCCCCAGCCATCTACTCTGGTGGGCACATTCCACGGACTTGGCCCTCTGGGAACCCTAGTTTGGAGCGGGGGTGGGGTGGCCCAGGCTCCAGGTGAGGAAGCAGAGAGCTGAGGGCCCAGGCAGTTGAGAAGCTCTGGAGTGGAACAGGGCAGAGACAATGCAAATTAACTTCCTAAATTATCTTTCCTGTACAGCTGTGGGCTGAGGGACAGCGTGTGCTCTGGGGTATGCCTCCGTGGCTAACCACTTTTCACATTCCACTCCTTCGTGGCGCCTCTCCTCCCTCCAGCAACTCCCCTACCCGCCATGAGTCTCACTCACAGACAATGCGGCAGTGAAAGAGCCAGGAGATATTAGGGCTTCGTTCCATCTGAGGCAGAGCAGAGAGGGGTCCCATCAGGACAGCTGGGTCACCCACGTCCCCCTCCAAGCCCTCAGTGTTCCACAAGCCTGCCCACCAGCCACTCCCAACTCACAAAGTCCACGCGGTCCTCGGCCAGCCAATGGAAACACTTGAGGAAGAGAAGGAGCGTGAAGAGCGCAACAAAGCGGGGGCTGAAGTCATCCCGAAAAACCGTGAAGGCCAGACACGTCTCCGTGACAGCATACCAGGAACGCTCAAGAAGGTGCTGGAGGTTGAGCAAGGGAGGATGTGGAACCAAGACGTTCTATTCTGCTTGCCCGGTGCCCTATCCCTCACCTGGGAGGTCACCGACATCTTACCTCCATCTCCGCTGCCCTTAGCTGCCCAAAGAACACCTTGCCCATCACCTTGCCCAAGAGGAAGACAAGGACGAAGGCCTGGATGTACAGGACCTAGGAGTGAGGAAAAGCTCTAGTTTGAGGTCACGTTCTTTCCTCTGCTCGGCCCTTATCATCCAGGAACCTCCCCAAGTCCTCATCACAGTTTATTCAAAGTTGGGTGGCTAGCAGCTACTTCTCACCCACTTACCTGACCTGTAGCCCCGCCCCTGTCCCAAGCAGGCTCCCGTCCCTCCCAAGGAGCTCCTCCCTCCCTGAGCCCTGAACTCACTGCCATGCTGGGGCTGGACTTGGTCAGGTATACCACCGTAGGGTAGAACTGGTGTTTGAGGTAGTAGGCGTGAGCCACCACAGCCCCAGTCAGCGCCAGGCTGGCCGCCATCATCACTGCGGTGCGGAACATTGCCCTGGCCTGGAGACCTAGGTGGGGAGGGAAGAAGACATCATGTGGGATGCCTACCCTGTGCAAAGCACAGTGCCTGCCACGGCATCGGGGAGAGAGGGGAAAGCAGCTCAGTTCACGATCCTCAGATCAAGAATAGCACGTTTCCCCCTTTCACAAATAAGAAACGGCCCCAAAGGGATTAAGTGGTCACACTGATGCAAGGCCTGGAACAGTCCTGTTTCGAATCTAGGGCTCTTTCCACACTGCCTGCCAAGTGGTCTCCTCTAGGGAGGCCATGAAGGAAAGCAGCAGGGCTGGAGGAGGCGGGGAGAGACTGCCGCTGCCGACCCCGGAGTGAAGGTGCTAGGGTGAGAAGCAAAATAAAATCAGCTCCAGGGGAGGGAACGAAAATCCCGGCTGACAGCAGCCAAAGCGTAGAGCGGCGTGGCGTTGGGTGACAGCTGTGCCAGGATGGTCAGCGTGGACGCGCGCTCGGCGGGCGGGTGGAGACATCAGCCTGGAACCCCCAACCCACGGGAAGTGTCAACTTGGGGCTCCGGAGAATCGGCCGGCAGGCTCAGTCGCGGCGGGACGGAGAGGGTCCCAGGTCGCCCTCGCGGCCGCGCACCTGTGAGCGCCAGG